CGTAAGTATTCGAAAGCCTGTTAAAAGGTCACTAACTGTTTAGAAGAATTAGCATTAGTAGGCGCTGCCGATACGCCATTGGAAGACGCTAAATCTCAAGGAGGTTACACGATCGCTCTCCCACGTGTAACGTCACGACACAATCCACCATACAAGTTATACATGAGTACAGGTGTACAGTATGTCCAATTATATTGTATGTGAAATGTTAGTCAAGAAAACTAAATAAGAAAGAGAAAATAAAACTTACACATCCATCAGACAGCTTGCAATATAGTCTGTGTCATCTCATCTATTACTATATTTGCCTTTGCTCAAATTGCAAAAACTCGCATGAAGTTTATGTTGCCTATAAAATTTCAGAATTCTACAATTAGAGATAATTATACGCAATTATTTTTTGGCAGAAGCACCGAATACACTTTAGGATATAAATATTTGGCCATGATATTGGTTTCTGGGCCTGCAAAATTAATGATCAAAATCCAATGTATGAACATACCTTAATATTAATACTTTGGACTCTTATAAAGAAATCCTCAGTAAGAGGTAACTTGCAAAGAAAATATATCATCTCTTAGCATTAGCAATAGAAATGGTGCTGTGCAGTTGACAAAGTAGGTGGAAGGATCCCAAGTTGACCATTTTTAGCTTTGTTAGTGAGGCATGAGTGCTATTATAGTAATACTATCTCATAAAAAGTTTCTCATAAATTCATTGCGTGGAACATTCCCGTGCAAGACCTGCAAAACCACCACTCTGAATCCTGACGCTAAAAGCTTCCAGATTCAGGCGATGTTGCGTGACAACTACCAGTAAACAGGTGCGAGAAGAGGTTCCCCTCCGCCGAGCTGTCAAAAATCACCGTGATAATTGCCACCCTGAATACCAGCACTTTATTGCTTCCAGTTTTCAGACTATGTTGCGTGACAACTACTGGTCGTCAAATTAGAAGTGCAATTGTGATCCATGGTTTTACTTTAGTTCGCATTGTGTTACGAACCACGTGAGTTCGCGAACGCGCATTTAAGAAAAATTTTCTGGTCCCAGTCCTGGTTATTTCAAGTCCGGGTAGTGGATATTATAATTAATCAACCTCTCATTTACGTCACATAATAAATGTTCACTTTGTCCGGTTTTGTTGCAGTCTGCCCCATTTATAATAATAAATTCGAAATTATCATGATATTAAATTTTTTTGTGTTATGATTTCACACGCTGCGGTCCATATGGGTAGGTATGCAGCATTGGGATAATAATCTTATCAAGTCCTAACTATTATTCGACCAAAATGGTGAACACCAACTTGTTTAATGGTAGCTCAGCCTGTCTGCGTAATCGTCTCGAAATTGATATACTAATACTGACTTCCTACCATATTAAGCTTCATTTTTCAGTATAATCTCCCTATGATTATTAAATCTTCATCAGTAAGGTTTGAATACAGTCTTGATTACCAATATCTCTACATTAGTACTAATGTCAGAATTTCTTTTGTCATACCATACTTTCCACTATGCTGTGCGGAATATCATTCGAGTTCACAGACATTACAGCGGATTTACCAAGTTTACTATTTATAACAAATTGGTAACAGTTAGAGTTTCGTTAACCAGGTTCACTATAGATAGCTTCAACTGCACTCACAAAGCCTCACATCTTGCGGTCAAAAAAGTGAAGCGGTAATGACAGAAATAGAAATTGTCGTATGACATATAACGTGATCCATTAATATAACATCGAATTATGACATATTATTATAATATCAGCGATAGTTAATCCCAACGAATAAAATGTATTATATCTCTGCTTACGTTATCTATTTCACGGGAAAAGAACAATCATATCGTTTTAATTGCGCAGGCCAAATAATCTCTACGTTTTGCGTAAAAAGACATTACCTCGAGCTTTATTTACTGTTATTATTCTGACGCAAGATGAACTCTTCCCAAAACCGTGTCCTATTATCATTCAAATATTCCTTTAGGTATCCTTGCGTCAAACCAGTCGGGCACATCTACGCCTAGAGCAGCCAACACAATAGCCGCACAATCCATATTCCTAACATCCTCTTTAGACGTTTTCTCATCTTCATGCGATCGTATATCCTTATTCTGAATACCCCTTCCACACACCACAACGAAAGACCCCATCTCGTCTTTACTATGTTCACCATGTGATGTCCCCGTCCCTCCATGGTCAGTAGTGATAACTACTGTCATCTTTTCCAACCATTTATCTTTCTCCAACTCATCAAATAACGTTCTAACCTGTCCGTCCAATATCCTCAATTGTTTCAAATACTTCTCTGATCCGAACCCGTAGAGATGACCTTGCTCATCGACGTCAACAAAATGAACAAGCAACAGCTCGATATCTTTCGAATCTGGCGAAGATAGAAAGGATAATACCCGTTGTAAGACGTACGTATCGTATGAGGGCGATTTTAGAATGTAATGTTTCACATAAAGTCTGATACGCGCGCAGAGAGATTCTGACTTGGGAGAGTAGAATGCGCCTGGAATCGAACGCTCTATTATGCCAGTGTTTATTGGAGCCCACGCGACAAACGAAGCATATTTTATAGGTTCATCACAAACAGGGTGTCTCGAGTTTGATGCACAGATAAATGGTTTAGTGATAAACTTGGACGCGTTCCTGGTAACTTTATCCTTGTTGGTCATCATTGTCTTCTTGTTACCATATCTGCAGTTGTCAATAACAATTTTATGTCTATATTTTTCATTTTTCTTCCTCACGCTAATTTCCTTTTCGTCTCTCCTAACTAGTATTTTAAACAAACTCGGATACATGCTATTCTCATCAAACTCCTTCCCGCTCTCAACGTCTCCATTAGTCAACCCATGTTTTTCTGGCAGAACTCCGTGAAGAATGGAACCCCAATTAGGGGCACTGTCGGTTGGGTATACAGCATGTGCACTGGGGAAAGATATACCCTTCGAGAGAAGAGAAGAGAGAAATGGAGTGTGAGCGGAGTAAGTCAAGGGAGAACGTCCAAGGCCATCGAGGGCGATGAGGAGGACTCGCGGGGGGGAAGAATGCGAATTCGAGTGCGGGCTTGAGACCATAGGAGTTTGGTACCTGATTTGTCTTGGATAAAATGTGTTGCTTTAAGTGTGATTTATTGGTGTGAATTTGCCTATCGAATGTCGATTCTGTTACACGTGAACAAAAATAACTCTACATTAGTATGCATGCATGGACGATCAAGGAACTTGCCCACAATTCAAAGTCACACAAACAATGACCAACTCAATATTTACTATCTATCGTAGACAAGTAATTTTAGAGCTACAAAGTCAGCCTGTCGTAGATAGAACGGGTCATACATAATGTAGGGAGTACAAATCGGTTACAGACTAAAGAAAAGCCAGTGATTACGGAAAACTTTGAATTTCACATTGACAGTAATACATAACTCTTGCAATTACGTAATAGTTACAGCTCTCTTAAATTTGTTGACCCTGTATGCGTACATTAGCAGTAATTTTATAACGTGATATGGTGGAGAACTATGAAACAAATTTTGTTGCAAATTGCTGTCATCCTGACAATAATAATAAGGAGAACAATAAGCCCGAACTTTATTATCTGACTACGGCAACAAGCATTTCCCCTGTCATTTGTACACATGAACTAGCGTTAGGTGAAATGATATATGTGTCACAGAAATGTTGACTACAGCAATTCACACGGGTCCTGGGAAAAAAGTTTAAGTGGATGAGATTGCGGTTATTTGTAATCTATATTCAAGTCTATTTTAGGGAGATTCAATGCAATGCCCCGTTATAGAAACCTACTGTACCGTGAATATATATACACCCCAATGCGAAAACCGACTGCAAAAAGCGACCCAGTATACGATAGAGAACCAAATAATAGAAATTTATATTTAAAAAAAATAAACAATGCCAAATCCAAAGACATTAGTCGTATTCGATTTTGACTGGTCACTCGTTGACGAAGACAGGTAAGAGTAATTGAATATGCATCGAGATCGTATTTACAAGCTTTCTTGGCCTCTTCATCATACCCTGTATACTTTGCTAGTGATTGTATAGTCTTGGAAAAGTTGTCAAAGCCGCTTCGAACGAAAATGAATGAGCTGCAACACTCTATGGAATGGATCGACATGATGGTAAGAGCATTTTGTTGATTTTCGAGATCAGCCACAGAGAATTACATCATCATCGTTTTAAACGTTAGGCTGTGCTATTAAAAGAACTTCATTCAACTGGTACAACACGGTCACAAATTGAATCAGCCCTACTGTCAGTTCCGATGCATCCATCGATGATATCGTGCCTCCATATGGCTAAACGCCACAATGCTGATATAACAATTATGAGTGACGCAAACACTATCTGGATAGATCACATTCTCATTCATTATGGAGTTCATCATCTCATTGACAACGTAATCACAAACTATGCGGAATGGGATGCCAGCAATTGTATAGCCATCGACAATAATACACATTCACAACAAAATTGTAACACGATTCATAGTATTACTGGTGAAAAAATATGCAATAGAAATCTATGCAAAGGCCACGAGTTGAGACGGCTGTTAAATTTAAGAGAATATGATAACGTGGTGTACGTTGGGGATGGCGTAAATGATTATTGTCCGTCACTACAATTAAGAGATACGGATGTCGTGTGTGTGAGAAAAGGAAGAGCACTGGAGAAACTGATAAAGGACAGCTACGGAAGCGTTCGGGCTCAAATAAAATACTGGAATGATGCGGACGATGTGTTGGAGATATTCAACGACGTTTTTACAAGGGGCCGACTCAAATCGGAAGAGAAAGAAAGAAATGCGAGTACAAGAATGTGTTTGGCTAGAGGAATGGTAGCAAAAAATATTCCAAAAATATTGTCTTCAAATAGAGCTGTGAAATCGTTAGAAAACAATTGGCATTTGTGATGCTTTGATTTTATTGTTAAGTTTCAAAATAGATCAAAGTGGAAAGAGATTTTTGCATTGGTCATTACTATGCACCCCCACATAATTGTCGTACAAAACACCAAACTATATAACGATGACAATAATAATAATAAAGCAGACTGATAATGTTAGGTTAAGGAGTGCAGCGATATTGATATAGAAAACTTCATTGAAACAAACTTTTAAACTTTCACGAATTGCTTACTGACCCATTACTATCAGACTTTTTTTTAACCCGCCACTATAATATACAGAATAATTAGTATAATTTAAATATTAGTTTTTAGAGAGTTCAATTTAGTTGGTTATCTGGATTCTTTTCATGTGAGGTATGTCTACATAAATGAGAGGTTGATGCCAAGTACAAAATTCAATTTTGATTACTCACAGCTGTTCTCATTATAGTAGAACTCGTTTATATCAATGATAAGAACAAGAAAAGATTACGAGTAGGGCCTGAAATCTGGTCTACAACAACAACTAGAAGAAATGTTCAATAAATATTAATATAAAAACTGACCTTAACCAGGACAATGACTTTGCAAAATGCTCAAATGCAGCTTATTTGTTCTACTACTACCGGCAAGAAAAAAATTACAATAGAAACATTGAAGGGAGTAGGTAAAGAACTTAGAGAATAAAGAAAACGACATAGAAGAATTTGGAGAGGAGGCTGCAAAATGTGTATTGGAATCTATATAATTTCTAAAAAAATAAAAGTTCAATATTAAAATCATATTAATATCAATCATTTAAACTCACTCTGACAGAGAACAGGTATGCCCATTAAAATTGTAACAGAACATGCTCGATCCATTTTCCTAACAAAACTAATGGATCCATCAGTTTATTTTTATTGACATAAACATTAGTTTGCTTATTGGGAAATTTTTTAAAATCTGGATTTTTAATACATTTTCGTAATGTGAATAAAAAACTCTATTAGGGGGTTTCCCAATGTTTGAAATATGGATATCATATCTCAATATAGGACAGCCGCTAAATAATGCGCGTCTTTTCATAAAATTTTCTTCCTGTACGTTACGATGGATTTTTTCGAGTAAAAACCTTGCGAATGGACAATATCGAATGCGTTAGAGGATTATCGTGTAAAGGAACTAACAACGCGCAAAGCGCTTGATATATTTTTGACGCAATGAATAAGGATTTAAAAAAGGTTGCTTCTTCTTCTCCTAGCTATGACACGACGCCGCTCAGGCTATTATCTGCAATTAAAAATTTTGTATTTCATTGAAACGGGAGGATAAACCTTGTCGTGGAAGGCAGCTGAAACTCTTCGTTTGCAGTCATAACTCTTAGTTTATTTGTTTTTTTTATTCGGTGGCTTTGACGGGTTTGAGGAATAAACTGGAGAGCTCTTAGTCGACCAGTGTCGAACTCTTAGTTTTGCCCCTCCCCGTCGACTTTAGCATATAATGACAAGCTGAAATAGTATAAGCTCTTAGTTCGATGCATCCTTCCAATTATATGATTATTATTTGATGTCACAACATGAGAAATTTGCGAATGTCGCTTATAATATGCCCAGTAGGGCTAAAAAGTGGTAACTCTGTAACACTATTACTATGCTATTTATAAGCGTTTATTTGAAGTTCAATAAAATTTTCTAGATTTTGGTAATGCTTGTAACAACTGCTGCCAAAATGTAATGGCAAAGTAATTTTACACTGCGTAATTTTGTTATCTGATTTATCAGATTAGCTCGCCCTCGCCGTAACAATATGGAAGAAAATATTCAGACTTATGAAAAAAGTCAAAAAATTATTACGACAAAAAACTTTTCAATCAAATAAAAATGGCAACTCAAACTTCCACTTTCTCTCAAAAATGTATAGTTTTTAATATAAATTATATATTTCCAGAAATAATAGAGTTGCGATTGAACGGGCATTAGCAAATCTCACAAATGAGGTAGTAAGACGGAGCAATAATTTAGCACAATCGATGGAAAACGCGCAAATTGCTAATGCAAGATATGGGCTGGCAGAATTATAATGCAGACTTGCTAGTTGCAGAGAATAAATATGTTGAAAATATGAAGGCGAACAAAGAAAGCACATTTTTGGAAAGTAAAATAGCAAAGTCTTACTGACAAGACTTTAATTGTCTAAATATATAAAGCCACGGAAATATAGATCAAAAGTTAACCCATTAAATGCTCATAACATTATGTATGCTAATGGATGGAGTGGAGAATCTGGTATATATGGGCCATGACTGCAACAAAGTGAACATTTGACTGCGCGAGCTAAAACGGCCGAATTGATCAATATAGTTATGACGGTCTGGCCTAAGTGGCACAACTATGATCATTTCCGAATTTCTGGACTGAGACAGTCAAGACGTTTAGATAATTTGCATGCGAAAAAACGTAATTGAATTTTTTTGTAGGCATTCTTTGTGAAATTTTACGGTAAAATACAAACTAAAAGGCGTCTAGTTTGTTAACCCCAAATAATCCCTCGCGCGGGCCGAGCTCATATTGGAAAAGTAAACGAGACTTGAAATTTCTAGTAAGTCCCAACGTATATTTATGCATGATATAAAAGGAGAGATCAACCAGATAATTTAAATTTATTGTGGCATAAAATTACCAACGTCGCTTACACCATGTAATTACACCACTTTATTAATTCTTTTTTGAGCTATTATTTAATTGTTTGCTTTTTAAACAGATACGTAGTGTTATTTATTATAAAATGATAGCAATAAAATATTGTACAAGAGAACATAATAATAAAAATTTTTTTGATCAATTTATTCATCAAAGTGTTGTGCAGCATATTAATATCTCCTTTCTCTATTCGCTTATAGTCAGTGCTCTCTATAAAAGCTTTTGGAAAGACAAAGACTTAGTCAAGGAAAGCCAGCTGTATGTTTCCACAATAATTGTCGAGATGTTTCATCTTGCTTAATTTAAAACTATAGCGATTTGCTAATTTATAATTACAGCTAGATATTGCTTTAGCTTCTGTTCGCTAAAAATTACGCGCAAGAATAAAACTGTTATTAGGACAATAAAAGTTATACACTTTGCTAAGTCTAGCACAAATGAATTAATGTAATCACAATCCAAACAAGTTGATAAAGAAAGAAA